ACACACACACACACACCCCCATTTTACACAAATTACATCCCTTCAGGAAAACACACACACACACACACACTACACACTCTGTATATAACGCAGAGTGAGTGTGTAGTGTGTGTCTATATAATGTAGTGTGTGTGTGTGTGTGTTTAATGCACACACTGCATTATATACGCACACACTGCATTATATACGCACACACTACAAACACTGCATTATATATACACACACTACAAACACTGCATCATATACACAGACACACTACACACTGTATTCATTATATACACACACTATACAAACACACTGCATTCACTATACACACACTGCGTTCGCTATACACACTAAACACTGCATTCACCTTACACACACACTGCATTCCTTTTATACGCCACACACTACACACACACTCTGCATTCATTATATACACACTACAGTCACTGCATTAACTATACACACTACACACACACCCTGCATTCATTATATATACACTACACAAATATACACAGCTCCACTGTCTAAACACACTGCATCCAGTGCATGTGGCTTTTATATTTTGTGCATTTACCTTTTAGAAATAGTTTATTTTTTCAAAATGGTAAATCTACAGAATATCAGCAAGCTATCGGCCTGAAAGTGAACAGATTATCGGTATCTGCTCTAAAAAAATCAATATCGGTCGATCCCTAATTTATACTCTAAATACTAAAAAAGGAAAAAGATGGTGAGCCAAACACTAGGATTGTGGGGTAACACCTAAGTAATAACTGGACAAAAACACTATAAGTGTAACTGTAGTTGGAAACTAACATCAGTTTATAGTCCTTAAGTAAATAGGGGACTCAAACAATAACCTAGCAGATAAACATAGTGCTATCAGTAGGGAAAATCTAAAACCAAAACAAGAAAATTTTATTAATCTAGTAATAGTCCAGCATCCTAAAAACACACACGTTGGTGAATGTGCCCAAACACTAGTAAATGTGTGATCGATAAAGTGCTGTGTGTCGGTGCAGACTGAGATGCGCTAATGTATCTTGACAATAATATGTGGAATCTAATAGGATTGAGTTAACAAATACCATGAACCCCTTAAGGACACATGTCATGTGTGACATGTCATGATTCCCTTTTATTCCAGAAGTTTGGCCCTTAAGGGGTTAAAGGCAGGAATAATGCCAGTGAGTAGGTAAAAAAAAAAAAACTACTGTAAATGAACCAAGAATAGTAACTTGTCTGCACAGAGTATCAAATGAGTAATAACGAAAGACACCCAACTGACTGGTAAATAGTAGTAACGATGTAATTATAATCTTATTGCGCTAGGCGCAATAGCTGTGGAGGGTGGTCTATTCAATACAGTACATATACAGTAGTCAGGTCTAACAAATAGACGGCTCACAGATACATTGCTGTCACAACTCCTTAATGAGCATAAATGTAATAATGTAACTATAAAGATGTGGCGCTGAATATGAACATAGTCCAACAATGACCAGCTATGAAACGCTCTTCTCTTAGCTATAAGTAGTATAGGCTTCTAAAACCTATCTCTGATCTCCCTCTACAATAAGACTAACTGTACCTTACATAGATACTCAAAAGTAAAGGTGAACATAAACGTGAATAATCCTAATACATGCGATTAAAATAAAACTATGAAACTAGCATAGCTGAATGATGTGAGTTAGGGTGACACCCTGGGTACAAA